ATCATTTAAGTCCAGTTGTTCAGACAGTCCCAAATCTACCAAACCGTAGCTTATCTAGCCCATATGTCTCCATTTCCTCAGCTTTCTCATCTGTAAAATAAGGCCATGTCCTCTAAAATCCCTTCCTGCCCTATATCTATGCTCCTATGTTCCTTTCTGGAAATCTGTATGTTCGCCCTTTTCCAATCCTATGGCACCTTCCTATTCTCTACCTCTTTTCAAAGAATGCTGAGAATCATATCTTCTGGTTCTTTCATTACCAGAGGACATAGTTTATTTCAGTCTGGTGACTACAGCTCATTAAGGACAGCCAGGTGCTTTGAATATTTTCTTACTTCTCTCGGGTATCACTTCTCCACCAGCCATTCTTGTTCTATCACTTCCAGTCCAAATATCACTTTTCTTGGTAGAGAAAACAGAAGCAAAGTGTAGGCTGAGCAGTGCTGCCATTTCTGTTGTCACTTATCATCACCCCATACACCCAAAAGGGGTTCTATCCCTTCTACACCCTCTTTTCTCCAGCATAATTTTAAAGCCCTTTTTATTGCCCTTCCCCACCAAATTCAACTTGTTCTTAGCTTTAGCATACCTCACATTATTTTTATAGAACAAAGTTTACACTTCCATATTTATTCTCCATTACCTGCCTTTCCTTCCATCTTCAGTGTGAAACTTAAAATCTAAGTTGTTTGGTGAATTCACTGTCACATCTATCTCAATTACTTTCTCCTTAACAGAATTGTTTCTCTTTGTGTCTTCAGAATTTTATTCTTGAGAGTTTCCGGTTTCTTCCAGAATGACTTTCTCTAGAGACTTTTAATCCATGGAATTCTATCGAGTTGTTGGGTTTTTTTTAACCGTTTGAAATTTGCAAGCGAGATCACTTCCAGTTTTCCTCTCTTCTATCACAAAATGTAAGACGGTATAGTCACTTCTGGGAACTAGTTTCTCCTTATTGGTGAGAATCAGATCCAAAATAAAAATTTTCCTATGTTCCTTCCTCTACTTTATGAAGAATGAAATTATTATTAAAGTCAACAAATTGGGGACTACCAGGAGCCAAGATGGGAGAGTAAGAAGTAAGTCGCTCTCACTCTCCTTTATCGACCTCTAAAAACACCAGAAAATATCGCCCCAGGAAAAACCTTGGAACAGCTGAGCCAGCAAAAAGACAGAGTGCAACAGTCTTTTAACCTGGGAAGCTTGGGGGATTAAAAGGAAAGGTCCCTCTCACTCTGGTGGAAGGGGAGCTGTATAGGAAGGAGGCATCCCAGCAGCAAGCTAGTGGCAAGCCCCACCTTGGCAAACCAGCGGGAGATCCTGAGTGCCAGGGTGGTGGAGCAGGCAAGCACCAACACCAGGACCCCCCTAAGTGTGTTGGCACAGGCAGGAGAACCAGTGGGCAGGCATCCTCCAACAGCCAAACCTTCTAGTGCTTCAGAGCAGCTGTCCTCCAGGAGCCAGACCTCCCTCCACCCCAAAAGCTTCAGTATTGCTGACCCCAGCTCAGCACCAGGTAAACTGCCATACCCCTACAGTCTCCAGTGCCCCTTGTGCTCCAGCAGGACAGCTCAACTTTAAAAGCCAGGAAACAGGCAAACATCATGAGCAAAAAGCAGAAACAGATAATGACCATAGATTCTTACTATGGGGACAAGGAAGATCAAAACACAAATTCAGAAGAGGACAACAGTGTCCACATACCCACATCCAAAGCCTCAAAGGGGAATATGAACTGGTCTCAAGTGTAAAAAGTCTTCTTGGAAGAGCTCAATAAGGATTTTAAAAGTCAAATAAGAGACTTAGAAGAAAAATTGGGAAAAGAAATGAGAGGTATGCAAGAGAGTGTCAACAGAAGGACAATAACTGATTATAGAAAACAAGTCCTCAGAAAGTAGAATTGGCCAAATGGAAAAGGAGGCACAAAAACTCACTGAAGAGAAGAATTCCTTAAAAAGTAAAATGAGCCAAATGAAAAAGGAGGTACAAAAGCTAATTAAAGCCAACAAATTGCTACCTCCTATACTTTTGAAAGTAAGAACTCCAATAGTTGTCTGGAATTCCATCACTACTCAATCAAGCCAACTTGCCATGCTTATGCCAAACTTCTCATATTTCATCTTTCTGCCCAACTGGTCTCCAATGACAAAACTGCTTCTTTTTCTGCTCCCACTGCTCTTCAACCTAAATGTTCTCTACCATGCTTCTCAGTTTTGCTTCTTAGATTGCTTTGCATTGAGTATACCTTTTTAAAATATAATATTATTCAACTCCCCCCCTCTATACATATTCAATTTTAAACAAAACCAAAAAACTTATCCCATATTTTGTTTTGTGATAAGGTACACACACCCTTCGAAACCATATTCCAGTCATTAATATCATTCCACCAAACCTCAGTGACATCTAAGAAGTCATGTTTTTCTCCCAGTGTTTGAATCTCCTCTCTTGAATTTTGTCACCTGTACACTTTTATCTGTCTTCTTACATTATTCTACTACTCTTTATGGTACCTATCTCCTTCCCTCTATCCTTTTTTTCAACCCAAAGACCTATTAATAAAATTTGTAAAACACCAGGAATTTACATTTTGACATGCCTGGTTAGGTTCATGGCTGGTCATTCTGTGGTCCAAAAGTCAAGTTGCTACCTATATGGCAACTAACAAGTTTGACAGAAGCATAGAACTCTGGGATGCAGGTAGTCAGGGCTAACCTTCCTCCAGAACAGAGGTTCTTAACCTCTTTTGGAACATGGCCCCCTGTGACAGTGTCTAGGGACACCTATGGATCCCTTCTCAGAATAATGTTGTTAAATGCATAAAATAAAATATACAGGATCACAAAAGAAATCAATTACATTGAAATACAATGATCAAAGTATTGTGAAGGGGTTTGTTTTGTTTTGTTTTTAAGTTTAGAGTCTAGATTAAGAGTTACTTCTCTGGAAGAAAGGTACAACCTAAAGAAAGAAAAGGCAAAACAGTAACAGGGACAAAGCACCATCCTCCCACTACCGACATACAAAGAAACCTTAGGTATCCTACATCTTTCATTAGGCTCTGGCAATTCTCCATGAAGCCCCCAAATTCCAAAGGCCAAAGGGAGAGCAAAGAAGCCAGGAGGCCTGTGCTGCCACCTGGTGGCTCACAGTACAGTGTAGCAATCTTTTCTTTTTTTTTTTCCACACTTTTATTTTTTTTTTTTAAATTTAAATGTTTTTATTTTTTCCATATACTTTTGAGTTGAAAATTTTTCTTCCTTTTCCTCCCCCCCGCCAAGATGGTGCACAATCTGATATAGGCTTTACATTTACATACCCATTAAACATATTTTCACATTAGTGAAGTTGTAAGTAAAAATTAAAACCAATACGAAGAACCATCAGAAAGATGAAACAAAACTCAACAGAAGGTAAAAATAAGTGATAGCGATTCGACTTCCATAGTTCTTTCTTTGGATGTGGACAGCATTATCCATCCTGAGACCTCTGGAAATGTCTTGGATCCTCATAATGCTGAGAAAGGTTCAGTTTAACAATCTTAGTCATTGCATAACATGGCTGTTATTGTGTACAAAGTCCTCTTGGTTCTGCTCACTTCACTCAGCATCAGACCATATAAGTCCTTCCAGGCCTTCCTGAAGTCAGCCTGTTCATCATTTCTTATAGCACAATAGTATTCCATTACATTCATATACCACAACTTGCTCAGCCATTCCCCAATGGATGGGCATCGTCCCAATTTCCAATTCTTTGCCACCACAAAAAGAGCTAGCAATCTTTTCTGATATCACAAAAGCTAAATATTGATTTCTTGCTCAAAGTATCCCAGAAGAGGCCACTAGGTACATCATCTGGTGACAAGTTGGAAAAGTGCCACCAACAAATGTGTTGGGTGCTCCTCAGGACACCTGGCCATAAAACTAATTCATCCAAGACAAAAGACCAAAATGAAAAACAAAGGGCAAGGAGGTGAGAGATGAGAAGAACAGCATATATAAACTTTCAAAGGGGAAAAGGCTGTAGAAAAAGATGTAGTCAAATGGACCTATCTTAGGTGTTTCTGCTGAATGACAGGCTAGAAGACGGACAGAGACAAGTTACTATCCTACAGAGTAGAAAGGGTTTATGATCAGCCAGGCCTCTCACCTCCTTGAACCTAAGAGCCTCTAGTAAGAGCAGAGGTGCAGCCCAGGGAGGCAGAAAACTTCAGGCCAAGTCCAATCATAGGAAAGGAAATATGTTTTTAAAAAATTCTTTGGAGTCCTTAAAGTCCTTCTACAGAGAAGACTTTTATGCTATAAAAGTCTTGACCAAGTCACAAGGCTGGAAGAGATCTAGGGCAGTATCTCTGTTAGGCCAGCCTTAGATAATCCTTGACTCAGATTGGGGAAAACTGCTTCCTCCCCCCACTACTAGACCTAGAGAAACAATGGGCACTGACCAAGTTTCTACAGTGAAGCCAAGACTTGCCTTGGTGTGGGGCCTTCATAAATTACCCGGCCCACAGCATTCACCCCACAGTGAAAGTACAGTTGTAGCATCTCATGTTAGACTTCATGCCTCTCTTACCTAAAATCCTACAGCTGTGATTTAAACTCATTTCCTCAGTTATTCAGACCATAGTGAAGAAAAATGGTTACCACCTTCAATGTAAGGTTATAGCCTTCATCTTCCTCTCTATTCTCCCTTAACTAAGTTTTTCTAATTCCTGTAACAATTACTTTGAAACTTTTCAGCATAAAGAGAATGATTAGGATTGAGTCTTCAGATTGTGCCAGAGAAAAAATTTTCAACCTCAAGGAATTGGTTGAAAAAACAAACAAACCAGAAGCAGTTACATATGCTTCAGTTCCAATTCAGGTACCAAGGCCTACTTGGGCCTCCAATAGCTTCCTGCCCACACCCATGCCCAAGGTCCCCCAGTGCTCTTTGCCTCAATACCTCCAAACTTACATCCTTAAAACAAGCCTCCCTCCACCACAATGAGGAAAGAAATCTGGAGTCAATGAGAAAGTTCTGCTTTAATGCTTACTGGGTTTTGAGTACAGCAGAGTCAATCTGCCCCACTCTACCTGAGGAACCAAGAATCCTTCCTTGGGAATAGGTTGTACCAAGAACTCCACAAAGCAGTCATGGCCAGCTGGGGCTTCTTCTACTTCCAGGTTCACCACACGGTACATATTGCTATGGGCTAGACCCAAGAACGTGGGTTCTTCTGAGTCCAGCAGCTCCTTTCTACGTGAATAGCTCCCTCCCCGATGGTAGATCCGGAAGCCACAGGCTTGAGGTAACAGGTAGGACCAGTGGAGAGTGCAGCTGAGAAGAAGCTTTATTTTGAACCTGTGTACCTCTGAGTGGATACGCTGCCAGCAGGTGTGGGAGGCAGTTAGGTCCCGGACCTGGGACAAGGGTGTCATTAGGCTGTTTGCATCCACTACCTGCCAAGAGAAAGAAGGTTCAGAATATCCCCCTAGTGTCCCAAGATGGGAAAGAAGAGCCCTGGGCTATTTACAAGTTGGGCACCCCTCTCTCTGAGACAAGAGATATTACTAGCAAGCTTTGTAGTTTGTTCCCCGTTTTATAGCAATATTCATGCCTTTTCCTTACAAGTTCAGCATAAGCCCTTAACAGGTTGAGCCCCCGGGACTCCAAGCTTCCTTTCTACAAGTCTTAGGGCAGGAATCTTTACACTTAGGACTCCTCACCTGGATTTCCCCAAGGCGACAAGTAAAGTTTTCATCGTTCTGGCTTCCCAAGGGGCGTGTGAAATTAACAAAGATGTCTTGCAAAAAGCAGTTCTGAAGATTAACTTCATAGCAGCTGTAGAGAGGGCAGAGACAAGCTATGAAGGCAAAGGAAGAAGGAAGGGCTTCTATGCTGAGTAGAATCCCCTACTACTTCATTCAGTGACTAAACTTCAGCTCAATTGCTTATACTGCTAACTGCTTACCATGACCCAGTCCTACAGTAGGCATGGAAGAAGGGGGTTTAGAAGCAAAATGACAAAGGCCCTGATCCAGGGCCTAGGACTCCAGAGATAAGTTAATTACACATGTAATGCACTAGGACCTATTCCCTGCAGCAGACTAGAAACCTGCCGGACAGGGCTGTTCCAATAGGCAAGAATGACTAAGCCTAGGAGTTTCCCCACCACCCTCCAGTCCTGGGAATTCTCAGCTTGGAAATCCTTATACCCACTCACCTCTAGCCCATCTTCATGGTAGGCCAGCCCCTTGCACAGTGCAACACACCTTTGGGGAAGGGGGACTCACCGATGGATCCAGCCTCCGTCGAACTGCTGGCTGCATCTACCAACCCACTTGAGCAGCTTGGCTGGGGGCATCTGGAGAGGTCGGGGAGTGTGCCTAGTGGTTGGCCCTGCTAGGGAGACAAATCAGGGAAAATATGAGGCTCAGTTCTATTTTCCCAGCCAAATTCCCAAATCAAAAATGCCAAGAAGAAAAGAACCAGGAACCAGGAAGAAAACAGCCAGGAAGCCAAAACATTCTTGAAGAAGCTGTCACATTGGAGGCATCTCATCTCCCTTCAGTAAAACGGAACTTTGAATAAGAAAATCACTCAGTGGTAGGGCTCCCCACCTTCTCATCTACTCCATGCCACTTTATCTGTTCACTCCCAATGACACACCCAGTGGGAGGTACAGCTTTTTGAGCTCAAAGATGAATAAAGCCCTGGACTGTTGGGATTAATCTAAAAAGGAAAGTAGAAGTGAATTCTTCCTCTAGTCTACTTCTGATATGATCATTCTGGGACATGTTTTCCCTACCTGTAGAGTCCACTAAGAACTCTGCTACTGCCTGAAGGAAGGAAGAAGGTATAGACAATTTAGCTGAGACCTTAATACCCACTGCCAGGGCCGCTGTGAGTCCCCTGCCAACACTCTTTCCACCCTGCTGGTCATCCAAGTCCTTTCAGACCTTTGCTTCCAGAGATGACCACAGAAGCCAGAGTAAAAAGCCCAGAGGGAAGAAAAGACATCAGAAGAAAGAAGTTTAGTGAAGGCAAGAGGGAGACCTGTCCTGGTTTCTTACCATGTACAGACGAGATGCCTCCAATGTTACATCTTCTAACATCCAGGGTGGAAAGTTCCAATGCAACGGTGATATCTGTGTGCCCTTCCAGTTTGTATATTAGTGACAGATAAATTTTTGGTGGTGCTAGGACCTGCAGAGAAAAAAGCCTACAGGAAAAAAATTAAGACAATGAGAGGCCTTGGAGAAACTCTACTAAGATACTAGGCTCAAGTCACTTGAGCCACAAAGATACCTAAACACTGTAAACCCTAGGATCTTTACCTTTCCCTTCCACAATTTAGCTGTTTGGCTAATGATGGCTACTATACTAGTTCTAGTTACAACCATGACTTTGGAAAGTCACAAGGAAAACCAGAGCTTCCTCCAACTAAGGCACAACATAAGCCAAAAACCTTTATCTGCCCTGGCCCTCTAGCACTTTGCCCTACCAGGTGAGCCAGCTAAGCAGCCAGCACAGAGTCAAAAGAGACACTGAAAGTCCTTAATCCCCGATCATTCACCTACCTCACAGCTACCTTCCCAGTGTTGGAAGGAATCATCCCATGCACAAGCAGGGAGCTTCCTCCATTCCAGGCATCCATCAAGCAGCTGTGAATCCTCACCCAACCAGACTCACTTTCTAATTTATGGGTTCCAAAGATAGGCTGGATTTCCTGAGCACTCAGGTGGTACCAGGGTCCTACTGTCTCCTCCTAAAAGGAAAAACCAGAGGCAAGGAGAGTATTCTGTGATGTTATGCAGGACAAAGTGGACAGCAGGAATGGACAGGGATCAAAGTTGGATATCAGTTCTCTTCAGATCACAAATCCTAGTCATACAAAACAAACCTCCCCTCCATTTCTCACAAATTTATGGAAATCAGAAGACAAAAGGGAGAATGCTTCCCCTTGCAAAAATGTAAAACAAGTTGTAAGTAATACAAGTGAAGGCTCATTGGCTGGAGTACAAGGCAGGAAGGGGCATATCTGGAAATTACTGTTATGTAAAGACAAAAAGCACCAATTTTTTTAAAATTCAGTACAAACAGGAAACTCTTGTTCTACCCTCAACCCAGCATGACTTCAAGAGAACAAGAGAATCACAAATACTCCACACACCTGTCCATAGGAGAATCTCCGTGTTCCCAAGCCCAGACAGAATGAGGTGACAAAGGGCAGGGAACAAATGCTGTGAGTGGGCAGATATTGCTCCAACAAACTCCAAAACCTACATGGAAACATGTGGGTGCAGGAAGAACTCAAGAAATGTAATGAAGAGGAGACTCAGTATATCCCTCAATCTCAACCATTCTATCTTACAGTTTTCCCAGACCCCATCCAAGACAAACTTATACTTGCCTTGAAATATCTTTGATAAAAGTCTGGTATCCAAGCTATATAAGAAACTGACACACATAAAAGACCAAGAGCCACTGTTCAATATATAAGTACCCCAAGAAGAAAAATGGTTTTCAAAAGAAGAAATGCAAATTGTCCATAATCACATGTAAGGTTTTTCCAAATCATTAATCCTGAACAATTCACACTAAATTGTAGTATGTTTACAGTTTATGAGGTTTCACCTCATGACAAAAATTTTAAAAAACAGAAATAGTTGAATTAGAGGGACTATGGGCCAACAGACACACTAATACACTGCTGGCAGAGCTGTGATTTGGACCAATCATTCTGGAAAACAATTTGGAATTATTCAAGAAAAGTCACTAAGTTGTTCAAAGCATTTGGCTCAGTAATCTCACAAACAGGAATATGCCTGAGGAATCAATGACATAAACAAAGGTTTTATATATATATATATATATACTTATATTCATATGTGTGTTTTATATATACATATATGCTTACATTTTTATATGTGTGTATGTACATACACACATATATGTATATATATAAACAAAACATTTATAACACTCTTTGTGATAGCAAAATATAACTTCATGCTTCCTCAACCACCTAGTAGCTTCATGCACCAGAAATGCCAGTCTGAGGGAAAGTGGCTCCTCAGTCCCTGACCCATCATCCATCCCTCACTGCTTTTCCATCTCTTTCTAGGACATTCCTACCTGGGGGCAGCCAAGCTGTTTGATTTGCCCAGAAAAAAATAATCTGCGGTCCCCTTCTCTGACCCACTGATCTACCACTAGATGCCCCAAGTGGGACTGAAAGCTCACCTATCCTGGTTCTGGAAGAAATCCTTATTATCCAAGCACTCATACACCCAGCCAGGAGCAAAGAGCGCAGCTGAGAACCCATGCTTCCGGATCAGCTCTAGTGACTACAAAAAGACAGAAGGCAGAGAGAAAGACTGGTCATATAAAAGTAAAAATAGTTCATCCACTACTTTTTCTGAGGCTAAGGCTACAGATCAGGATTCTCTCAGCATCTGAGTAAGAAGCAATGGGTCTCTAATTCCTCACCAAACATGCACAATATAGTCCCCTATTTTCCATCAGCCTGTTATGAAATTTTCACACACTATTCTGATAAGCTCCTAGGTTTTTGTAGCTCCTTGAGAGCAGGTACTATTCTACTTTTATCTTTGTATCTTTCACACCCAGCACACTGCCTGGCACACAGACAGAACTCATAAAGCTTGTTGGTTAAATGACCATCTCTTGCTGAGATTCATGCAGAATCCTATCTGAGCACTCTGTAGTTTCACAGATTGGCCGTAAGGGGGCACTGTAGGGTGGAAGAAAGCCAGAAGGAATGTCTAAAGTGTACAGTAATGCAGGAAACTCAAAACTCATTACATTATCAGAATAACTGGGCATAAGAAGACTGTTCTGTGATGGCATTATTTATTCATTTAAAGTTTAATTAATGACTGATGACCTCCTTACAGAAAAAAGAAAAGGGACAGGATTGACAGCTCAAGAGACAGATTGTTTATTTTTCTCTTGTGAGGTACATCAGCTCCCAACCTCCCTTTTCTTTTTTGCTGCCATAAGTTGTACTGCTAGAAACTCATAAGCAGCCTATCATTTCCCAAAACCAAATACTCCATGTCATCACCTAAACTGACCAAGGAATTAAAAAAACATAAAAATACTTTTAGCATTCCCCAAGTCTGCTCTGCTGTCCCAAAAAAGTACAAAAAGGAGAGAACTAGTCAGAATAGCTACAGGACTGGTGGTCCAGGCTACTAGACCTGCACAAGAATTTATCATAGGATCATAGATTCAGAGCTAGAAGAGACCTCATTTAATCCAGCTCCCTCATTTTACAGATGAGGAAACTAAGACTCAAAATGGTTAAGTGACTTTCTTAATGTCATGGAAGCAATAATAAGGGGCAGAGGCAGGATTTGAACCTGAGACTTCCGACTCCAAATCCAGCACTATGTCTAGCACTACTTCTAATGACTTCACAGTCAGGATTCATAGAGTCATAGAATAGAACTGAAAGAGGCTTTAGAGATTGTTTAGTCTATCCCTACTCCTTTCCCCAGCTTCCCCACCAGTCTTCCTTTTCTCAGAGAAGAAAAGGGATGTGCCTAAAGTCTGTGTCTGGAATATAGACTCCCAGCTGTCCAGGGATGGGGTGAGCCCTGTCACCCCTATGCTGGGTAGCCCATAGGTCAATGGTCTCCAAGTCTCAATTTCTCTATCCTAAGAAGAATAACAGGCACTTTCCTCCTTCAAGATGAAGGGAAAGGTGAGAAAGACAACCAATTTGAAAGAGCCCTTAGAGACCCATTACCACCTCAAATGGTGACTAAGCCTCCTCCGCTTCCCCAGTCTACTCACCTTGTTTGTGTCAAATCCACCTCCCACGACATTTCCCCGGGCAAATATGTCCACTCCTACATACACATCTGCCTTTCTCACTTCAAAGGGTGCCATACGTTCCAAGTGTTCCTCCTTCCAGTTGTAATTGGTAAAGATGCCATCACAGGAGTCAAAGAATACCCTGGGAAGCAGTAAGAGACACAAAATTGGGGAAGGATCGGACCAGCCAGCCATTCTCTCTCAGCCTTTCCTGAGCCCTCTTGTTCACAAGGGCTCCCTTTCTTCCTGAAGTGGGGACCAGAGACAGGCTCCCTGAGAACCCACCTTGCCTTTGCAGCCAAAATAATAGTATCTTACAGATTATAAGCTCCTGAAGGGCAGGAACTGTGTCTGCAAATCACTCTCCATACAATTCTAAGTGCAAGGCCACAAGCAATTTTGACCTTTTGATGATGATGAATCTAATCAGACTGTGCCTTCTCACCTAAAGCGGCCACAAATTCAAACCTCTCACAGGTCACAGCCACTGCTGAGTTTCAACACACACACACAGTCACTCACTCATAGGCAAATGGCCCAAAGTTTTTCGTTTGTTTTCTTTTTTAAGTAGTTCATGCTCCCCACAGGAATGAAAAGTATTAATATTCTTTACAACCAACCACAACACATTATATAATTGGCTTATGCAAGTAGTTATATTTAAGAGTAAGGCAAATTAAGAAATGTGTCACTTCCCCCAAAGGTAGATAGAATTCTTTTGGGTGGGAAGCCTGAATGTCAGCTAATTAGGCCTGGAAAGGCAAGGATGAAGACCAGATCCTTCTCAGAGCTGCTCAGTTAATCTGACAACTAACTTTGTTCCATAACATTAGACATCCTTATTGGGCTGAGACAGCAATCTATTCCAATCTCTTTTCACTCTTCTGCCTACATTCAGGAGACAAGGAAAACAGAGACTAAGTTGCCATTGTTAAATCAGCTCACCTATTTCTTTCATTCAATTCATTTTGCCAGTTCAGCTGTCCATCCTTTGTTACACTATCATACCAAATCACCAATCCACCTGATACATGTTGGTGTAACTGTTCAGTCAGGTATCGCAAGAAAAAAGGAGTGTTCCCCACTGCAGTCGCCTGTGAGAAGGGGGAGAAAGAAGATTTGACATTGTCTGAGTTGAGTGCAGTTTAGAAAGGGCTCTAGGTAAGCAAACTCTTCTCTCAGGACAGGAAGAAAACCACTGGTATGAGCTAAGCTACCTACACTCTGGCCATCATCTCTTCTCCCCCATCTCCCCTACCCCTATTCCTAACCACCACCAAATTTTATACTCTACCGTTGGGGCACTGGTCACTGACAGGTGACTTGTCTTGCCTGTACCCACGGCCCCCTGTTACATCAGAGCCATGTCACTATGTCACCACCACACATATCTCCTTTCTCTGCACTTTTCCAGCTCCCCTTTTTGCCCTTTCTTTCTCATTAGAACATAAGCTCCTTGAGAGCAAGGACTGTCTTGCTAACTTGATTTTGTTTCCTCAGCATTCAGCATGATGTAGCACATAGTAAGTGCTCTATAATAAATGCTCTGTCTATCTATATGTCTATCTTTCTGTCTGTTTGGTAGAAAAGAACACACAAAACTGTGGGCAATACAAGGCAGAAACACATACTACAGAAAAGCAAAAAGCTACTAATGTCTGGAGCCCACAATATGCCTACTCAGAGTATGGGGTTGACACTTAACTCTCCTAAAGAAGGGATGAAGAGGGATAACAAACAAGGGTATTACCTAATCCAATAAAAGAGGAGAAGAGGCCCCCAATCCAATCCAAGCATGACAGAGGTAGAGAAACAAGTGTCCCATCATAACTCAGACCTAGAGTCACAATAAGAGCTCAGCCAGGTAAGGTCCCTGGAGATACATAAGGAAAGTACACCATTCTCTTCCATCAGAGAAAGCATCCTAGGGCTGAGGTGGCTCTGTCTGAGAAGGAGGAGAATCTGCAGTGGGCTCTATGAGATGCTACAGTATTCCATCACGAAGAATGGTGAAGAGAGTCAGGGGAGGGGAAGAGGTTAAGAGACAGAGGTCAATGGTAAAACCCTGAGGGGAGAAATAAACTAGAGTAGGGTGGAAGGGTGGCTGGGGAGAGAGGACCACACTCACGCTCAGTGAGTTCTCAATGTTGATCAGCCAGCCATCAAAGCGAAAAAACTGTGCAATGCGGACTAGCTGATCCGCCACCTTCTGGTAAGAGGACGGGTCTCCAGACAAAAATTTCTCACAGAGCCTCCCACCTTCTGTCCACTCTGTGATCAAGGTCCCTAGAAGACAGGACAGAAAGGTTAGGCTCTCTGATGATGTGCAGATGAGAAGATAACTTGCTTAGCTGGAGTGGGTACAACTTGAATGGAGACACCAGAGCTGCGACTTCAGAAGTAAATCAAAAGGCCACCAATGAGTCTGCTAATGACTTCTGGCTAGGTAATGATGGCAAACGTTTATATTTTCCTACCTATTACTGTCCTCTATGGTCCATCCAGATTTATCTGTGGCTCACACACACTCTATTTCCCATCCTAGTGTCTCCACACACACCTGGCATGAACTACTTCATCATCTCTAACTCTCCTGCTTCCTTCAAACCTAAGCTTATGTACAACTTCCTACATGAGACCCTTCTTGATCCCATTGGATGTTAATGTCTCCCCCAAACCCAAAATTAGCTTGTTTTTACTTTATACAAATTTTGTTTTTATTTATGTGGGCTCCATATTGAGCAAACTCTTGTCTCAGGATGGACATAAGGCTACTCATATGAGCCAAGCTAGCCATTCTCCCCATCTCCCTCATTTCCCCTGAACCAAATCTTATACCCTGCCCTTGGGGCACTGGTCTCTTACAAATGAGCTTTCACTTTGTCTTACCCAGAGCCAGACCCCCCTTCTACTTCTAGGCTATGTCTACACCATGTTGCCACCACATATACCATCTCTGCCCTCACCTTTCCAGGTCCCCTTCATGTGCTGTCTTCCCTTCCCTTCCCCAACAGAATGAAACCTTCTTGAGGAAAAGGGCTACTGTTCTGTTTCTATGTCCATATTTCCAGTGCCTAGAATAGTGTCTTACAATGTTTAATAAATGCTTGATTGATTAAAGTTTGTAAAAAATACTTTAGATATGTTTTCTCATTTGATCCCTGTAACAGCCTTGTGAGGTTCCTACAATTATTACTGTAACCATTTTACAGGTAAGGAAACTAAGGCTCAAAAAGGTAAAGGTAAAGTATTGCCCATGGCCATATAGCTAAAGAAATGTTGGAGGCAGAATCTGATTTCAAGGCCAATGCTCTTCCCTGTATGCCATGTCACTTCCTCTAGTGGTAATACTAGCTCATATTTACGTAAAATTTTATGGTTTTGCAAAACACTTTATTTATATGATCTCATTCAATCTTCACAGCAATCTTGTTGTGTTGGTATTAGTATATCCACTTAGCAGATGAAGAAACTGAGGCACAAGAACCCAGAGGACTTCGTATACAATAGCAGCCACGTTATGCAATGACTAAGAATGTTAAACTGAACCCTTCTCAGCATTACGAGGATCTAAGACATCTCCAGAGGCCTCGGGATGGAAAATGCTGTCCACATCCAAAGAAAGAACTATGGAAGTCAAATCGCTCTCACTTATTTTTACCTTAAGTTGAGTTTTGTTTCATCTTTCTGATGGTTCCTCCTATTGGTTTTAATTTTTACTTACAACTTCACTAATGTGAAAATATGTTTAATGGGTATGTAAATGTAAAGCCTATGTCAGATTGTGCGCCGTCTTGGGGAGAGTGGGGGGGAGAAAAAGGGAGAAAAAATTTTCAACTCAAAAGCATATGGAAAAAAAAAATTAAAAAAATAAAATAAAATAAAAGAAGATTCCAAAGCATCAAAAAAAAAAAACTGAGGCACACATAGGTTAAGGGACTTGCCTAAGGACCCAGAGACAATAATGATAGAGAGTTAGGGGAACTTCAAAACTAGGTTTCTAACTTCAAAGGCAATGTTCTGTCTACTACATCACAGCTAAGAAGGCAGTGTGGAAAGAACATCTGTGTTCCAATCTTGGATCAGCATACATCCTTCCTGTATGACCCTGGGGCAGGTCATTTAAACTCTGCACCTGTTTCCTAATCTGTGAAATGAAAGAGCTGGACTTTAAGAGCCCTTCTAGCTCTGTGAACCAACTTATTTATACACAATACCAGTCCACAACAACTGGCTCAATGTTTTCTTGTTCCCACATCCCTCTGACCTGCTACTATGTACACTCTCTTTAATAAACGAAACCTAATTCAGTCTACCATCATGCTTACCTAGCACAGAGACCCCATGCTTATGGGCAACGTTGGTCCAGACCACTGGAGGGATGGTGACTGTGTGATGGCTGAAGTACACAAAGATGTCTATGAATTGCCAGTGGTAGAAGATGTAGGGAGACTCTGTCATACAGCCTTGAATAAACCTAGGTAAAGGAATAGGATGAAGTCAAATCACAGGACACAAAATGTGAAACTCAATTCAATTCAACAAGCATTTATTATGTGCCAACTATGTTCTAGGCATAGTTGGATAAAAAGACAAAACTAAAGCTACTAAGGACAGGGAAAGATTTCATTGCTAAATAAAAAATAGTTGTGATCACAAACAGGTAAAATTAATAATTTTGATTAAAATTTAACAGCTTTTGCTCAAACAAAATCAATGCAGTTAGAATTTGAAGGGAAACCTTTACAGCAGATTTCTCTGATATAGGTTAAGGTATATAGAAACTTCAAATACATAAGAACAGTTCTGTGTCTGATTATGTGACCCTGGGCCAGTCACTTAACTTCTCAGTTTCATAGGCAACTCTCTAAGACGATAAATAGTAGAAAAGGTGCCAAGGCAGTTTCCTCAGCAGGGTATTTCCTATTGCAGTGAAATCACAGGTTCAGTACCTATTCTCTATATAAGAACAAGAGCCATTCCCCAAAACACAAGTGGTCAAATGTGAGTTTTCAAAAAAAGAAATGCAAGCAACTAGCAACCATACAAAAAATGCTCCAAATCACTGATGATATGAGAAAAACAAACTAAAGCAACTCAGAGCTTTCACATACTGGCAATGATAACAAAAGAAGAAAATGACAATTGCTATAAAAGCTCTGAGAAGGCAGATACACTAGCACACCTTTAGTGGAGCTGTTAATTAGTCCAATCATTCTAGAAAGCAATTTGGAACAATACTCAAAAACCACTTTACTCTTTGACCCAGCAATAATACTACTAGGCACACACCGCAAAGAAATCAAAGGAAAATAGAAAGGACTATAGTTTCTAACTGGACAGATGAGAGAAACATTGAATAAAAATACTTTTTGTTGTAGCAAAGAATTGAAAACAAAGTAGGTGCCCATCATTTTGGGGTCTATGAATCTAATGTAGTATTATGATAAATGACAGATTCAGAGTAACCTGGGAGACTCATATAAAATGAAGAATAAAGTAAGCAGAACCAGGAGAACAATTTATACTGTGACCACAATAATGTAAAAAAAAAAGTGAAAAACTTTAGAACTTTGTTCAATGCAGTGACTGATCATGATTTCAGAAGACTATTGATAAAGTATGTCTCTTGGCAGAAAAAATGAACTACAGTTATAGAATAAGACACAGATTTTTAGACAAAGGCAAAGCCTTGATTTGTTTTGCATGACTATAATATTTTGTTATAGGGTAGGGTGAGTTGGTTGGAAATGACAGTGATGCCAAAAAAAAGAGAAAAAAGCATCAACAAAATATAAAATACACAAAAGAAAAGTCAAAAAGGAACTCAAACAGAGCAATTTTGTTGCTTCCTTGTAAAATTTAACAATACACATTTTTGAAAACTATGCATAATAGGTTTTTTGTTCATCTTTGCATACTGAAATATGTTTATAGATGATTAACTTAATTAAAAAGACAATTTTAAAAAGATGTTTGTTGAATAACTGAATTCATCCATGACCATTATGATTCATTCCTACTGCCAAAATAATTCCCCAGGAAGCATTTTTCTTTTTGGGTTTGACATGCAAGATTACATGATCCGAGGCTTAGAACTGGAAAAGACCTTCAATACCATCTAGTCCAACCCCTTCATTTACAGATGAAGAAACAAAGACACAGCCAAAGAGCTTGTGTGATTTGTCCAAGGTCATACAGTGCATGCCAAAGTCATAAGTTGAATTCCATTCTTCTGACTCCAAATCCAGTACACCTTCACTGTACCACACTGCTTTTCATTAGTGGAAGATATCTTTCAAATTTGTAATAATGACAATAGACAGACAATAATAGACAACAGAGAAAAAAGTGGGAAATTCCAAAATTCATTCAGGTAAAGTCTCCCTATATTCTATAACAAATCTTGTACCAGTCAATAAAAGCTAGGAAACTCAGGAAAGATTGTGAAGTTATGGAAGGATGGTTAATTAAATGAATCAAGAGAGAAAGAAAGCTATAAGATTATAGAATCAACAGAGAATAGCCTAACTTACCCAATATCCCAAAACTAGTTAGTTGCAGAGGCAGACCTAGAACCCATTTCTTCTGACTCCTAATTCAGCACTTTATTAACTATACCTCATTAGTTTCTCAATTTAACTGTTTTATTGGGTGAAGTGGGAAAATTAACTCACCTGTCATTTAAGTAACCGCCCATCATGTCATGGCACACCAGAGTCCGAGGCCTCTGGCTTTGAAGTGAGGGTTGGCGATCTGCTAGGGGTATCATAGCAATGTTAAAGGCATCCTCACTAACTGGTGTCCATGCCAGAAGCTCCTCCAGTGAAGAAAAGTAAAAGCTGACAGGTTCAGTGGTGATCTTGTCATAGTTTCTAACTGGACAGATGAGAGAAACATTGAGTAAAGTCACTGAAATGTTGTAACTTTGAAATCAAAAAAGAACTTAAACAGATGAAATCTTGAGAGGAAGCCATTAAGGCAGGAGTTCTTAATCTTTTTTGTGTGTCAGGGACCCTTTATGCAGTCTAATGAACCGAAGGACCCCTTCTCAGAATGTTTTTAAATGCATAATATAAAATATGTAGAATTACAAAGGAAATCAGTTATAGTAAAATACACTTATCAAAATATTTAAAAAGCAAGTTAATGGATCACAGGTTAAGAATCCTTGCCATAAGGCCTACAAAAGTCAAACAATGTACACAGCTTCAGGCTTTCTCACCTGGAAAGGGAATTGGCTTAAAATTGATCACCTCTCGAAAGACTGGATTCTGGCTGTCTTCCACACTTTAACAAAGGAAAAAACACCAAGAAGCTATTAGTACAAAATAGACTAGGATAAAGATAGAAGAAATCTTTCTCCTTGAATTTTCTAGTCCACAAACATCCTGCAAAGAAATTCAACCTATCTTCCCGGATTTTGTACAATTGCTCACATTACATAACACGTTTCAGTATACTGGCAATCTGAGTCAAATACCTGTTGACTGATTATGAGACTTTTGGGTGATTCTACCCTTCCTCTGATCATTAGATATCATGTCCTCTACAATGGCCAACCCAGGAGACTTGCTTCAAATGACTAAGGCCAGGCTATATCATAGTAGAAACACTGCCTTCAAAAGGCACTGTGCTACAGTACCAGGAAAAAGGAAAAAGACAGGCTCTGCCATTAAGTAATTTACAATGTAATGGGGGAAGAAAATACAGACAATAAAGCTGAAAAGGGGAAGCAGGGAAGCATTGAGAGAGAGAAAGAGATTGGGAAGACTTGGAGCCACTGTCACACCCAGGTTAAAATACCCTCAGATAGATTCTTTTTTTGTCTGTCTTATTAGAATGTAGGCTCCTTGAGGACAGGGCTTGTTTATCACTTTCTTTCTTTTTTTTTCTGTGTCCCTAATGCCTAGCAAAGTGGTTGGCATATTTAATAAGTGCTTATCAATTAATGTATAGGCTGAAGGAAAATGTGATGTCAATAATAACATTAATAATTCACTTGTGAGCCTGGGTGACTAGAATGATGCTGGACCCCTCAACAATTACCGGGCAGTTTGGAAGAGGGGTAGAAACATAGGATAATGACATCTGTCACAACCCATCCATGCCTGCTCATTGTGTAGGAGGCCCTCTGTCCTATGCAAAATAGGAAGGGGGACAGGGGCTCTAGGAAAGTAGGTAACTCCCCTATCTTCCAAGATACCTATGATGCTCTGGACAGAGATTAAGTATGTTGGGGTGGGGATGGGGAAGGGAATCAATTTTCCCACAGGCACATACAGAGTTACTGCTGTGGAATTTCATACTGGTTAGGTTATAAATGCCCTAAGGGACCAATGCCCAGCTCAGAAGGGAAAAGACTGCACCATGGAGAGATGGAGTAGTGAGGGAGTGCTGAAGATTCAGGGTAGCTATCAGAGTTGGAGACAAACTCTAGCAATCACTATTATAGGGAGAGTGGTTTGCAACCCATTTCCCACCCTCATTTGGTTGATCAGGTCAGGGGTCAGGGCCAAGTCCTAATTTTTGAGACCAGTGACCTAGAAGACAAGAAGAGTTAACTGGGAGTGATATCATTCATACTAGATAAACTGAGCCACAAAATGTCAGAGATAAAAGGAACGTTGGGACTAATTCACCCCCTTCCTTTCACAGATGAGGACTCTGGAGTCCTCTCGCAGGCACTTGTCCAAGGGAGTCAAGAAGTAAATGGCAGAGTCAAAAAGAGAACCCTTCTAGGTCCCAGAAAATTTAGAAATAGAAACCAACAACCTAACTCAGCAGCCTCACATAACAGTTAAGAGCCTCGAATCTGAGGCCAAAGGGTCCTGGATTCTCGTGCTGGCTCGGCCACTAACGAACTCTGACCTTAGAACCATGAATTAACCTTTTCTGAGCCAGGTTTCTCGTCTGACAAACGAAGGAGGACTGGTGAATCTCTAGGCTCTCTTTGGCGATCCTAAGTCATAGGATTCAATAGCCATCCCCTCACTTGACGAATGAAGAAACTGACATTCAACTAGGACTGACTCCCCTATGGTCACACTAGTTCAAAAGGTTTTCTGTTTTTGTTTTTGTTTTTTAAATGCAAGACCATTAAGTTGTCAAAGGGGGGAGGGGAAAGCTCGGTCAGTGTGGCCTGGCCTAGCTAGGCGTGCAAGCACGGGACCCGCAGGTTGGAGGAGAGGAGGGGGGAGCCGAGCGCTGCGCGCCAGGAGGAAGAGACGAATGTCCCTTCCGTCAAAACGTCGCGCGCTCTCGGCCTCTCCCTCCCAACCCCCACCCCGGCTCTCCACATCCCATCCAGAGCCGTCTCCTGGCTGCCCTTCACCTCCGCCCGAGCCTCTTTGGCGAGGGCTGCGGCTTCTGCTTCGTCTCCGGCGGCTCCTCCTTCTTCTCGGCCGCCGCCGGTAAGTGCGGGCTGCGCCGCCTCGTTGTTCCCTGCCTTGCACTCCTTGCCGACGACTCCATTGGGTCTCCCGGGAGGCGCCTGTCACAGTTCCCCAGATCAGCCCCAGTGAGTGGCTGGACTCCCGGCGCGAGCTTAGAGGTCTTGGCTTCGTCCAATGGCGCCGTTCGGCCCCGCCTCCTGCCGGCCAGTCCTCCAATCAGGAGCTCCCAAACACCCCAGGACGGACACACATCCTCAGGGCGGGGCCAGGATGCGGGGGAGGGGGTGGAGTGGGAGGGGGCTGGGGGAAGACCTGGGCTCCTGACGCTGCCCTGCTTCTTGAACTGATTAGGTGCTCTCTGAAGAAGTGATGAATGGATGAATGAATATATGAATGAATGAATGAATGTGGGGGCGAGGTAGTGATAAAGGGTTATGTCTAAATAAGTTGGGATGCAGGTTCCCATTCTCCTGTTCCTAAATCCCCACCACCCCCAGTTTGGGAAACCTAATGTCCAAGCTGTCCTGGAAGACGCCCAAGCCAAGCTGAGTTGCGTACGTTTATTGTGACTGGCTTTGAAATGTTTATGAGGCGTCCAGCCCTGGAATCTGAAGGTTATCTTTCCTGTCATCCGGACCACAACTGGAGCTTGCAATTGGATCTGGGTGGTGGTCTCGCTGTGCTTCTGCTTATCTGCGGAGGAGAAATAAAGATAAGAACTTCCTGAAAGCAGGGGGCTGCCTAATGGTGAGGGGAAAGGAGGAAGAGAACCCTTATGACCTCTCCACTTCGTACAAAGAGACTTTGTAACAATGGTTAGAGATGGAAGAGGTCTTAGCAACTAACGATGCAGGGTGGTAGGGTGGGAAAAGATCAACATTACGTTTTAGAGTACCTGAATTTAAATGGCAATTTAAATCTAGAATTCAATCTCTGGACATTTTATACCTGTATGACCTTGGGTAAACGACTTAACTTCTCTGGGCTTTAATTTCCTATCTGTACATGGAGGAGGGTGAAGGAAATGACCTCTGAGGTCCCTTCCTGCTCTAAGTCTATGAAACTATGATAACATGATCTCTTAGATCCCATACAGTTCTAGATGTATTAATTAATTGTTATTATGATTAATATGAACCATATGAAGGAAAGGAAACAAGCATTTGTTAAGGATTAGAGTGTACCAGGATCTTTGTAAATATTATCTCATTTGATTCTCACAATAACCCTGAGAGGTAAGTATATTATCCTCATTTTATAGTTGGGGACAGAGGTTAAGTGACTTGCCCAGGATCATACAGCTGATAAGTGCCTGAGGTCAAATTTTAATTCAGGCCTTCCTAACTCCAAGATCAGCACTGTGTCCACTGTACCACCTAGCTGCCTCTAATAATGGGAAGCAGAAGTTCCCAAACTTATTTGGCCTACTGCCCCCTTTAAAAAAAAATTACTCAGTGCCCACCTGGAAATCTACTTTTTTTAACCTTTTAACAGTTTTTTGAAATTTGCGCCATTTCAAAAAATATATAATTTTTTAAATGATGCATCTTAAATTTAGTAATTTATTGTAAATGTATAGGTTTTTTCCTGCATTGAAATTTTGATGACACAATATTGCATCATGTGACTATATAGTAATATAGTATAAACAAGTCATTACATGTACATATTCCTGCCATTGCATGCTGGACTTCCCAACAACGCACTTGCCTGCCAGCACTTGCTTGTTAAGACTTGTCAGAGGACTTGACCACGATTGGTTATAACTTGCATTTTGTGAAAATGATGTAATCACTACAACTTTAACTGTGTTACACAACAGATGAGACATGTATGAACAGTTTTTCAAAATTCTTTTCTTTCCTTATGCTTCCCTAGGCCCCTTATTTTTATTCAATGCCTCCCAATTGTATCCAAGGCTACTACTGCCCACCCTGGATCATTCCAATGTCCCCTGGGGGGTGGTATCACCCACTTTGGGAAGCTCTAAAAGGTATCAACCAGGCCAAACCAGCTTCTAACCTGTGGGTGCCTAAAGCTGAACAGAGCAGGCTAGAGATAGGAGAGTCAGGAACCAAACAGAAGTTTAATTTCAAAGTGAGGGAAATAGCTTGCAAGCAAAGATACATGTGCTGGAGCCCTGACCTGGGTAGGGACCTAGGCAGTATGGGGAGATCTCAATACTTATTTCAGTGTTTGCACAGTAAGCTGTAGCCCTGACAATGAGGGGTAAAAGCAAAAATGTGACAAGTTTGATTCATAGCAGGGCTTCATGACCTTCTGGTCATGAATAATACATGGATACAGCAGGTGCTTGTCCAAGCTCAGAGAACTGTTGCTGGTCAAAGAAACAATAATTATATAAAACAATTCTGGGATTTTGCTGTAGCTGAGATCATCCAGAGTGAGTGCAGAGAAGTGTTGGTTTGCCTAGCTCAGGGCACAGTCTGCTTGCTGGGCCTTAGCTCTGGAAAACAGAATGTCTCTTAATATCTTAATATTTCCCCCTTTTGGCCAAAGGGAGGGGATCTAAAAGAACACCTACCTTTCTGGCCAATAAAGGAGAGGCTAGTTGGGCCAGGGTGAGATGTTGCCCAGGGGTTAGTTCTTGAGGGGACCTATCAGGGAAGTATATCCCAGGTATCATTGCTAGCCATTGTTTGCTTACAAGCAGAAAAGAGAGGGGAGCCAAGAATGTAGAGGGAGAAAATGCCAACATACTCTTGAATCAGGGCCTTGGTAGTTAGGGACATAACAAAAGAGAAGAGGGGGGAAAAAGTAGAACAGTATACTCAGCCCTCATCCAGAATCTTGGGACAGCTATCTCATCTGGGTGTTGGCTGCTTCTGGGTCTAGATGAACTTTGAAGTCCCTAGAGGATTCTGCTGTCCACTCAAGAGCAAGGCCTTTCTTCAGATGGCCCAGGAGTCTACACCCACAAGTTTGGCAGCTGATAGAATGTAGTCAGAAGGACCTGGTAGGGGCCCTTAGGAACAATGATTGATAGATCAGTACTGGGCCAGTTTTTACTTGCACCAATCTTTGGATCTGAGTTTCTGGTGAGCGTAACATAGGTCCTTAGTTAAGAGTGTGTAAACAATACATAGAGATGATCCAGTTTCCTAGCCACATAGGGCTGGGTTAAAACAATGCAGTAAAGTTTTTCTCACAATTCACATAATTGCATAATTACATTAAATCAGAGCAGATCAAACTACTTAGAAGTTTGATAATGGCCTAGTACTGAGAAAGGATATTGACATGTCACCAGGGTAACCAACAAAACTTAAACATAAACATCTTGAAACAAAAGACCAAAGCAATACAATGGTTATCACCAATAAAGTCTCCTTGCATCCTAGTAACCCATTCTCAGTGTCCATTTAACTAGCACATTTTGAGTCCCAACTGTCTGGTCCCTAAATAGCTTCTCTTGAACGATATACTTTATTCTCAGGACAACTCTGAAGAGGGCTCTGCCTCCCTGGTTCCAAATCTAAAGGTTCTTAGATAATTCTGCTAGTAACAAGACTTAATACAATTTAGTAAATTTAGTTCTCCAATCTTAAAACTTCAGAGAATTTCAGTTTATATACCATTTGCTATTTCCATCCTTACTTAAATCCTATAACTGATATAAGAATCTTTTAAAAACTCATGAGGGTCCAACAATAGAATGAGCTCTTTTGCCTTTTAAAATTATCAAACAGATATTTTAATAATGGGAAAATAATTTCACCTTTACCATTATCCATATAATTTATGTGTAAAATCTTAATCAAATTTTGAGAACTTACTACTAAAATATACTCAAAGCCTAGACAGAAAAATTTTAGAAGCCAATCATATACATATGTTTATAATTCTTAGAGAAAACAATCTAATCCTGTTGCTTTCTCAAAATTTACTATTTCGTTTAATTAGAAAACTTTTGGGGCAGCCAGGTGGCAGCACAGGCCCTGAAGTCAGGAGGACCTGAGTTCAAATCTGGCCTCAGACCAAACACTTGACACTAGCTATATGACCCTGGGCAAGTCACTTAACCCCAATTGCCTAAAAAACAAAACAAAACAAAAAACCTTTCATATTACATCTTTGTCTTATTACTTTGTTTAGTCATTCCCCCCTTAGGAGGATACCATCCCTATATTATAATTTGACCACAAATATAGGTTAAAATTGTAAGATGTTCATACTTGCATTCTATTATAGTAAGTCAGAGACATTCCAGTATCAATCTATTATTTAATAGATTTAGTATTGTACTTACAAAACTTCTTGATTATAGATATTTGCTATAAAAGGAAAAAGAGGGATATGGCTATAACAATGTCATTTATCATAACAGAAGGAAAAACTCCCTTAGCTCTGTTCAATTCCAGGCATGAGTCATATCTTACAGCAAATCATATTAAAAGCAAGGCTCAAGAATAACCAGGTGGTAATTTTCCTTTTCAGAAATGAAATAGCACAATGGGGAAATAAAATCAGGAGGATCCTACCTAAGTGGTGCCTTATGCCAAAACTTTTCCCAGATACAGTCATCCACCTTTAGCAGTTCCCAGACTACAGCACATGCCATTTTCTACTATTGGCGTCATGACAATTCCAACAACGACCTCTGTAATCAAAGCTCAAAACAATAGTAAATTACAATCGCAGGAATTTTTACCTTAAATACAAAATTTTCACTAACCACAATTTAGGGCTTGAATATCTTCCCTGATGTTTCCCTAACAGTTAACATTTCATTTATCCTTTATTTGTAAATTAAAACTACCCATATTCTGTGGCTTCAAACAGACAGCAAATACCTGATAGCTGACTCATCATTAATATATTGAAGCTACTTCTTTAAACCACCATATACACTTTCATAATAGCCAAAAATTTCAAATGAAATTTGAATGCTCTTCTATTAAACTTATTATTATCTGCTTTATAACAAAATATACTTCATTAAATATTTGAGTTTTCAAATACCTATTTTAATCACATCCTTTTAAAAGCCCAATTCATGTGCAATAGCATCCAGATTAAAAAGTTTTGTCTAACAGCATGTCTGTTACAATGGTCTCTCAAATTTCACAATATATGAGAATTTAGAAATACAGTAATAACACAAACAATAAACTTCAGATGACATCAGTTGCATTTAC